AAAAAAAAAAAAAAAAAAAAAAAAAAAAAAAACTTGGGTCCTTGTGCTTGCAAGACAGGTGCCAGAACGACTGAGCTACGTCCCCAAGCCCCTAGTGTAGTGTATTTTTAAATATTTGTATCTTTCAGAAATACATACTAAAAAAATACATACTAAAATATTTTAAAAAGAAAGGATATGAATTCTAGATATTTTCTGTAGGTATAATGTGGTTAGGAATAGGAATGTGGTTAGGGAAGAACTGGCCATAGAGTCCAGTAGTGTGCTATTTTGTCTATTTTAAATGTTCAAAATTATCCTCCACACTCATTGTGAAAAAAATTTTAATATCTGAGCAAATTTAATCCACTTAACAAAATCCATAGGTTTTTTTGGTTTCATTGCTTTTGTTTTGAGACAGGGTCTCACTATGTAGCTCAGGACCACTTTGAACTCACTCTGAGGCCAGACTGGCCTCAAACTCCTGCCAATCCTCCTGCCTCAGCTTCCTGACTGCTGGGATTACATTCAGGTACTACCATGCTCGGCCAAATCCATAAGTTTTGTTTTTGTTTGGTACCAGGGATTGAACTTGGGTCCTTGTGTTTGTAAGGCAAACAGTAAGTAGAACCAAGATACTGAGCTAAATCCCCAACCCCAAAATCCACAAGTTTTAAAGAGAAAAATAACCTATAACCAGCCTGTAACTGACACTCATCATCCAATTCTACCATAAATTTCAAAGAAGCAAAAAATCATCAAGAGGCATTGGGGTAAAGCTCTACTACATTAGATATTTATTATCTGCTACAATCTGTAGAAATATAAATGATTTCATTTTCTCTTGATTTCCTACACTTAAAATAGACCATTTACTTGTTAAGCACATTACTATTCTCAATGTCAAAGAGAAAGAGTTCTAAAGGAAAGGCAGTAACATACATAGGTGTCCACTAAGCTCAAAGTTTACCTGTAGAGATGTAATTGACCCCGTGTGTCCTTGGAGCACAGCAACTGGGGCACAAGTTCTCAAGCACCACACTCTAATGATTTTATCGCAGCTCCCTGCAGCAATAAGTGTGTTCTCATAGTTCACTGCCATATCGGAAATTTCTGCAGAATGACCTCGTAGTGTGGATAACAGGCGGCCATTATGTGTTGACCAAATCTTTACCAAACAATCATCTGAACCCTAAGAAAAAAAATACACCCAAATATAAAAATCAGTACAGCAAAATCTTTTAAATCACCTAACAGAATGTCTTTTACATATCATCCAAATTAACCTACCAATAGTTCCCTCCCCTTTCCAACTACAAGACATTCAGCAATAGTATTTCTTTTCAAACAAAAATCTATGTGAAGATATCTAAATAGGGCCGGGGATTTAGTTCAGTGGTACTGCTGCCTGCTTGGTGAGTGCAAGGTCCCGAGTTCAATCCCCAGTACCAAAAAAAAAAAAAACTCTAAAATATCATTTATATGGATCATAAGTACTATTTTCCACAAAATTCTCCACCATAATAAGCCCAACTCAAAGTTTCTGTATCAATTAACATGGGTGATGGGCTGGGGATTTAGCTCAGTGGCACCATGCTTGCCTTGCAAGTGTGAGGTCCTAAATTCAATCCCCAGTACCAGGAAAAAAAAAAAATCAATTAACATGGGTGAAACATAAAGTCTGGCTCAAAAGCCAAATGAGTGTTAGGAAACATCAAGGGTCCATACTGTGTCAAAAACAAAACTAAGCAGCAATCCCCAAAACAACAACAAAACTGGGGGGAAAAGCACTCTCACATCAAGTAACAAATAATACCAGTCAGCACACAGGTGAGTATGTACTGTGAAGGTCACACCTGCAAAACCAAAGTTAAATGTTTCATCATCCTAATTTTCCTTTAAAAATGCTAAAAAGGTTAGATTTTAAATACTTTCATATAGTTTTCTAATAACTACTTCAACACAAAAAGGTTATTTTACAATAAGTCCATTTTCCTGGACCAGCAATTTATGTATACAAATGTAAATTATTTCTAATATCATATGTGGGTTTTTTGGTTTGGTTTTTGTGAACATATACTTAATAACGACATACTCTTCAATGGCCTAGAGAGGAAGCAGTAGGCATGCATTATTGGAAGGTATCTTTACAACAGTGCTTAAGACCCACCACTTTAAGTCAAATGTCTCTAAAAACAGTGTAGTCACAACTATTAAAAATACAAATTAGGGCCGGGGATTTGGCTCAGTGGTTCAGGCGCCTGCTTTGCAAGCGCAAGGACCCAAGTTTGATCCCCAACACCAAAAAAACAAACAAACAAACATACACCAATTCATGGGCCCCATATAAGACCTACTGTCAGCCAAAATCTCACAGAATTTCACAAAACCTCTACATGTTTTATAAGCTTTCCTAGATAATTCTTTTTTTTTTTTTTTTTTTTGTTGCATGGGTTCAAATTCTGTCCCTTTG